ACAATAGCATGGACGTCTGTTTAAAAACACTAGGCTGAGCGGAAATAAGGTTACTGCCTGGGGCCAGATCTCTTTCCGGAGGAGGGGGATGGAGTGCAGTGGACGGAAACCCAGGCTTTAAAACTGTTAGGCAGAAGGGGAGGTGAGGAGAGAAGGGCCCTGGTGGGGAGGGGTGGGAAGGCCTGATTGCTGGCTCCTACCTAGGCCAGCAGGGCAGGATGTGGCTGTTGAAGGATGTAGGCTAACAATGACTCTCTGACCCGGAAGACACCTGAGGCTCCCATCGGAGGGCAGCCACTGTTCATCGATGTACAGTCAGCCTGGCTATAAGGCTTACACTGAAAATGCTAATTCTGTCCCAACACCGCTGAAGTATTAGGGAATAATTTCATCAAAACGCTAAATTCACATTTGCTTATGTGCAGTTTGTCTTCCAGAAACACAAAGTGGACGCAGAAAACTGCACCCAGCGGAAACAAGCAACAAAAGATGCACAAAATGCACAGGCGCACCCCCCCAACGTCTGTCCACCGCTCTGAGCCACACCCACCCACATCTGGGGGCCCCACTTTCCACCTGACTTCAGGCATCCTTCCTTCCTCCACCAGAAGGGGCAAAAGATAACATAAACCACTGTAGGTGTGTATGATTACAACCCTGCATTAAAAAACATTTTTTTTCACCATAAAAATCGATAAAGTCTGGAAGGAAATATATCCAAATGTCAACAGCAATTGATGGGACTTTGAGTGACTTTTTTTTCTTTTCAATTAAAAAAATACATTTTTTTATACCCCCCATTTTGCAAACTCATAAGCCTTTTACAAGCTTAAAGATAACATAAGATCCAAAACCAAAGCAATTTTCAACATCGGCTCAGCCTGCTAACCCAACTCTTCACGGTGGCACACTCGCTGTCTGTGTTTGGCATGTGAGGACGGGTCTCGCCCGCTGCTGTGACAGCAAGCACACCCTGCTGATGGCAGCTTTTTCCCACTCAACGTGGTATCAAGCACTTCCTCCTCTTTCTACCCCGTCTTCAGAATAGAGATGATTTTTAAGGGCAAGAATTTTGAAACCATGTAGCTTGTGACCTTGACTTGTATCTAGTAATGAACTAGAAGTGACTTCCTTTTGAAATCAATTTGCAGTTGCACAAGGATTAGGTAAGAAGGGGCCTGACTTTTGCTCAAACTCAATCCTACCCTTTTCCTTTTCTCAGGGAGAAGACTAGAAAGGGGCTTCATATCTTGAGCCTGCTCACGTTTAGGCGGTGAGCTCCAGCAAGGCTCTCATCAGGAAATCTATAATCAGAGTCCTCTCTTGACAAGCATCCAACAAACTGGGATTTCTACGGCTTTGAAGGCCAAGAAAGACCTTCGCCACCGAGGCTGCCAGGACCTGCTGGTTCTAGAACTGGGAGATGAGATGGTGCTCAGGCCATCACTTCCCCGGCTCACAGCCAACTGGCTCCCCCGGCGCCACATCAAAAAACGCAAGTTCTGGTCCCAGCCACGAAACCTACAA